CCTGCGCGCCCAGGGGCGTCTCTGGTGCGGGGCTGCCCCCTTGAGGCCAGGGGGTGGGCCTGGTGGCTGGGAGGGGCGGCCCCCCCCCCCCCGGGCTCCCCAGAGCTGGGGCTGGTGCAGTCTGCGGGCGCAGGGCGCAAGAAGCCCCCGTCCATCATGGCCCCTCTGCTCGCCTGGTGGCTTCGTTCCCACACGGCATGTGAGGGGCTCAGCCGGGTCGGGGGGCCGAGGAGACTCACGTGCCCCGGGGTCCTGCTCCCCCCTCGCAGGGAGACGGAGGGCGTCCCCAGCACAGCCATCCGGGAGATCTCGCTGCTCAAGGAGCTGAACCACCCCAACATCGTCAAGTAAGTGGGGACGGGGTGGGGGGGGGGGCGCACTGCAGGCCCTGGGAGCAAGCTCTGTGCAGGCGTCTCACCCCTCTTCCCCCCCGGCCCAGGCTGCTGGACGTGATCCACACGGAGAACAAGCTCTACCTGGTCTTCGAGTTCCTCCACCAGGACCTGAAGAAGTTCATGGACTCGGCCTCCCTCAGCGGCATGGCACTGCCCCTCATCAAGGTACTGCACCTGCCCAGGCCAGTTGCAGCCCTGTGCCCGGTCCCCATGCCCGTAACCAGCCTCGCCTCCTTCCCCGCAGAGCTACCTGTTCCAGCTGCTGCAGGGCCTGGCCTTCTGCCACTCCCACCGCGTGCTGCACCGCGACCTCAAGCCCCAGAACCTGCTCATCAATGCTGACGGCGCCATCAAGTTGGCCGACTTTGGGCTGGCGCGGGCATTTGGCGTGCCTGTCCGCACCTACACCCATGAGGTGAGGGGACCTGCCCACCCAGCAGCGCTCTGGGGTCTGCAGGGGCTCTCCCACATGGGCCTTGGCAGGGAGCTCCGGCCTGGGCCAAACACAGTGGCCTCCCCTGTGCTCGTCCCCACTAGTTGAGGCTCTAGCTGGAGGGGGTGACATGCTAGGTCACATGGCCAGACTCCTGGATTCTCTTTACAGCTACCCCAGAAACCCACTATCTGCTCAAAGCACGCCGTCCCACATGTGCCTCAGTTTCCCTTCTGTCCACTGGGGACAGGTGACATGTGTTGCTCCTATGGGGGTGGGGAGGGGGACTTCTCACATGTTTGGGGCATTAGCCCCTCTGCTGGGCATGACAATGCCCCTGTCTTGCCCCTCCCCGTCCCTCCCAGGTGGTGACTCTCTGGTACCGGGCCCCTGAAATCCTGTTGGGCTGCAAGTACTACTCGACGGCTGTGGACATCTGGAGCTTGGGCTGCATCTTTGCTGAGATGGTGCGTGGCCGTTGCGGGGGGTGCGGGGGTCCCACTCCGTGGCAGGCAAGAATGGCGGGAGGGAGGATGAGCATTGACATGGGCAGGGCAGCTCCCAGTGCAAGCTGGCTTGGAGCCAAGTCCCTGGCGCGGCCCCCATGCCCCCCTTCCCTCCCCCCACAGCTGGAGCTGCAGAGCTAGGCCCCGGGGCTGTGCTGGGCCAGCAGAGACGTCACAACCGGCCACGCAAAGGGCTGCTGACGCCCAGCGGGGCCCAGGGAAGAAAGGGACCTTGTGGACTGGGGTGGGGTGCAGGCCGCAGCGCCCAGCCTGGTATTTCCTCCTCCCCAGGGCAGGGGGTGTGCTGGCAGAGAGGGTCACATGGAATGGGGTCCATGTCACATTGCACGGGGGGGGAGATGCTTCCCATGGGATTCAGCTCCATCTGGGCACAGCCCTTCCGGGACCTGGTGTTATCAGCAGCCAGGCCCCCACCCGGCCAGTCCCAGTTCAGCCCCCCACGAGCCTGCCACCCTAACCCCTGTGCAGAGCCCAGTGTCCGGTGCTCAGCAGATTTCCTCCAGGGAAGGCATTGAGTCTAAGTGGGTCATCAAGCACCTAGACCTCCTACCTGGCCCCCAGGTGCCACCCATGGTTTTCTTCTGCCCCTCCCAGATCCCCCTCCCAGCCCTGTTCCCTGGTGACTCCGAGATCGACCAACTGTTCCGCATCTTCCGCACGCTGGGCACCCCGGATGAGGCTGTGTGGCCTGGAGTTACCTCCATGCCCGACTACAAGCCCAGCTTCCCCAAGTGGGCCCGGCAGGACTTCAGCAAGGTGGTGCCCCCGCTGGACGAGGAGGGCAGGAAGCTCTTGGCTGTGAGTAGTCCGCTACTGGGCCCAAGGTTCGAGGCTCTGGGAGAGCAGGGTCAGAGTTGGTGCCAGGCTTGCCCAGAAGGAAACTAACTCTCTAGTCCCCTCTGTGCTGGGAGCAAACAGGCAGGAGGAACAGCAGGAGAAACCGGGGCTGGGGGAGCTCACATGCCAGCTCTGGCTCTTAGCATTTTGGGGTGGTGGAGAAGGAGGGTGCGACCCGGCTGGGCTCCCTCGGTTGCCTGGCCTAACCCCCCTCCCCCCTGTCTCTTCCCCAGCAAATGCTGCACTACGACCCCAACAAGCGCATCTCGGCCAAGTCAGCACTGGGCCACCCCTTCTTCCGGGATGTCACCAAAGCTGTGCCACACCTGCGCCTGTGAGGCTGCCCCGGGGCAGGGAGCCAATGCCCAGCCTCACCGGAGCCCTCCTCCCTGCCCCTTGCCGCCCAGCTCCGAACTGACTGTGGGGCCCAGAGGGGCTGGGGCCTGCCCAGCTCCCACCCTGGTTGCAGCTCCTTGCCCTCGGCGTGGATCAGGCTCTGATGCTGGCAGCAGGGCTCCTCTCCTGTTGCCTTTCCCAGCATCTGCCCCCCTCGTCCCGAGGGCCTTTCACTGGGTTCCCCCCAGCCGCAGCAATCGCTCTGCAGTGACAGGCAGGAACTGCCAAGGACCCAGCAAGGAACGGATCCCGCTGCCGGCACCAGCAGCTGGGCCCCTAGGGCTCCTACCCAGCCTCCGCCTTCCTCTGGCAGGATCGGTCCCTCCCTGTATATCTGCACTGGACCCAGGGGGGTGGCCTCAGTGCTGGGCCTGGCTGCCTCCATGGCAAAGGCAGGGGGTGGGGTGCCCCCCCATACATGTGAAGCTCACAGCTTCTGTGCCCAGAGGCTGCTGGCCTCATGAACTCAGATTGGAGCGAGGGGCAGGAGCTGCTGTGAGCACCACATCCAGGGGGCTTGTCCGTGCCCTGCTATAGCAAATAAGGGAAGAGGTGGGGAGCAGCCCCAGCTGGAGTAACAGTTTCTCCTTGCTAGCTGCTCAAGCGTGGGCCAGAAGCCACATCTCCCTTGCTGGGCATGTGATCCTTCCCCTGGAGCTGGCCTCTTGGTGCTTCCCCCTCTCCAGGGAACAGAGCCCTTTCTCTGACCCCTTGCTGAGCAAGAAAGGCAGGGCCCGGACTGAGCTCCGGATCCAATGGGAACTTGCCAGAGCTCAGGACCAGCATCAGTGCGCACCTGGCGCCAGCAGGAGGGCTGTTTCCCAACACAGAGCTCCAGCCCCCTGGTCCTCAGAGCTACTGGAGGGATCGGCATCAGCGGCGGCGGCTGGGGGCACGAGGTGCCTTGCGGGGCAGCATGTGCACAGCGCGGTGGGGGGGCGGGTTTTAAAGCAGTTTGTACAGAGTTGATTAGAAAAAGCACCTTGGCCTTTTTTGTAAACGAAGCTCTTTTTTTAAGGCAGATGAGCCCTGTCGAGTATTTTTACCTCTGACTCTGTCTTGCCGAGTTTTCATACCAAGTGTCACATCTTCTGTACTGAGTTCACGGATCATTAAAAGATTTTTCTGCGTTTTAGCCCTGCCCGCAACCAAGGGTTTTTATTTGCAGAGGCCGAAGCCCAGGTGCTGCTCCTTGCCCTGGCTGCAGTGTTAGCCAGGGCCTTGGGGCTTCCTGGGAGCCACTTCGTGGAGGTCACCGAGGCCTAGCAGCGGTTCCCATGGAAGCGACCAGACCTGGGCTCTAAATGCCTTTGGGTCTTCAGGCCTCGGGAATGTGGGTGGCTGGTCACCTAGAGCACGGGGGCAACCCACATCCGTCCCCCCAGGGCACTGGGTGTAGGGAGGGGGGGGGTCTGAATTCAGAACTGGGTTCAAGAGCCGGGGTTTGGAGCCGGAGACAGGAGTGAGACCTGTCCCCCTTGCCCCCCCGAGGCTGCGGTGAGCCCAGAGCCGAGGGCAGGGGAGAAGTCCTGTGTTCCTCACAAGGATACGCTCCCACTGCAGCTCCCTGCCCTCCTCCAGGCCGGAGAAAGCGGCCCAAGGCCAGAGGGCAGCAGACACCTGCTTGTATAGGGGACTCGAGGCTGCGCAGGCTCCATATACGGATTCTGGGGCTGACTCAGGCAGGCAGGAGCATCGCTGCCAGACCGAGCCCCTGGGCCCTGGCGGCACCCCAACCTCCTGGGCCAGGGGTGAGTCCTTGGGGTTGGGCCCAGGACCCTGGCCTGGGACTGCCCCACCCCAGACCTGGCTGTGCTGCGGCCTCCAGGGCTCAGGCCTGGTTCCTACTCCTGGCCTTTAAGCCCCGCCCCTTACGCATATGCCCCGCCCCTGTCCACTGCACTCTGGCCATAGGCCCCGCCCCGTAAGCCCCGCCCAAATTGCAGTTCCCCTTGTCTAGGTCACGCCCCTACCCATAAGCCCCGCCTCTTGTCCACAGACCACGCCCCGTCCACAAGTCCCGCCCAAAATTTAGCCCCGCCCTTTTCATGTGGGCCACGCCCCTGTGGTCCAGGCCAACTCCCTATGCCCCCACTTGGCCCCGCCCCCCAGGGCAGGAGTCAGCTTCAGCCTCAGCTGAGCTAATTAGCAGTAATACAATTGAGGTTAAAGGTTAAAATTCTCGCGGGGGCACCCGCTCATGGCCCTCCCTCACACGCCTGTCCATCATGCTCCAGCCCGTCTCTGATTGGCGCTAAAAAAGGCCTGGGCGGCCTTGGGCCCGCCCAACGAGGGGGGAGTTTGGGTCCCCTGTCAATCAACTCCTACTCGCTCTTTGAGTGGGCGAAGCGGTGCCCTTTTGTCTTGTGATTGGGCAGCGGCGAAGGCATCCCGAGAACTGATTGGTCAGTGTCCCATTGAGTGCCGCCCACTTAGGTCACCTTATTTGTTGTTGATGAAGCCCCCGAAGTCACAGCCGCTCCCATTGGCCTTCTCTTCCGTCGCTTAACCTAAGATCCACCCTCTTCACGACGCCTACCCTTTCTATTGGCCAACCTCCCTCACCCTCTCCCCGTTCGCCATTGGTCCGATCCCGCTGCCCGTCCCGCCAGTCCTCACCGCTCATTAGTGCGCCGGACCGTGTTGGTCTGACGCAGAGCGCCATTGGTCGGCAGGCCTGGAGGAGGCGGTGCCAGCCTTCAGGTGCCCGGCGCTTATTGGCTGCGCGGCCCCTTATCCCCGCCCGGCGGAGGAGGGTTTGGTTGAGCAGCTGTTTGTGTGCTCGGCGCTGGGTCCGCGACGGGGGAGTCTGCGCCGCTGCCGCCTCCGGTAC